TAAATCCATTTTGTGTTTGTATTTGTACATTTATTGTATTACATACATTTTTTCCAATTTTCAGAGAATCTTAACTCTTTCTTGGCTGTGTGGTAACTCCTAAACTCCACCATTAGAGATACATGTAGAACACCCCCAGCATGATTGATGTCACTGCAAATGATCAATTCCTGCAACAATTCACAACTCACAATATCAAGAAACATAATATGCAAAGGTTGAATGGCGACTCATAATTGAATTTCAACTGTAAAAAGACACGTACAGTATGATTAATATATCAGTATAATATGCTCCTAATGAAAAGTAGTAAAAATGACTGTACTAAAAGGCATTGGTAGTCAGAGGGCACTGAGTACATATGTTATTCTCTGTATGGATAATCTGCATTAGCTAATGCGCACTAGAACATATAGAAAGGCACAGAATAGGAGACCTCAGGGACCTTCTGCATTATTCTACCCAGCAGCAGCCCACAGAATTAATAACACAAAATGGGAGCCAAGATCACAAAGAACTATATCATTTACTTTCTGAGCTTGGGTATAAAGAACCACAAATAATATATGGAAATTGTAATTGTAATTCTGTCAAGATTAAACAAAAAAACCTTTTGTACACGAGGCCAAAACTCCCCTAATGTAAGATGTATTCATATAATTGTTTATTTTAACGCAGAACTAAGTAACATTTTGACCTCATTAAATGTATTTGTATGTTCATTAGGGGTGTGCAAAAATATTGAAATATCGATATATCGTATCGTTTAATACAGTATCGATACCATGGGCTGCTGTATCGATATATTGGCAAGAGTATTTTTTGAAATATTTTACTCAATTATTTTGTTACAGTGCTAAAGTTTTGTTTCTTGTTTAGAGGAAGGAAACTTTATGCGTTTATGCGACACATTTGACATTTTCACTGTTTTGAGGATTAAAATGTTTGTGTTTCACATGAACTTTGCGCAAGAAGTGGTTTAAGAAAGACTTTTAACATCACACCCATGATTTAGCCTTTATTTTTTATTGAACCGTATCGAATCGATTTGAAATATATCGTATCGAACTGAAAGGTCACTGTATCGAGATATGTATTGCATCGTGGCCTATGCATCGAGGTATGTACTGTATCGGCAACTTCTTAATAATACCCAGCCCTAATGTCCATGTGTGATACTTCACAATTTTGTATTTTTTTCTTTCTTAAAACTTTTCTGATAGTGGTTGCTAATGTGTGCATTGTGTCACCATGGTAACCGGTGAACACTCCACCGACAGAAATACATGTAGAACACCCCCAGTGTGATGTTACTGCATGGGTATCAATAAAATACTTCTGTCAGCATTATTATATTGGTTTATTTTGGTTCAGCAGGTGAGATGCCACAATCCTCAGGGAAGATCTGGGAAACCACAGTCCAGGTTTCATCCAATCAATTCACATCGACTTTTCTCAGACGTTAACACCGAGGGTCCATTGGCAACACTTTTAAAGATCCACAGAAGCCTACAGAGTAAGACAACAATATGACTAACTCTAATGCATGAAATACTATTTTTGAATTAGCATTTTACTGCTGTCAAAGTTGAGCTCTTTCAGTAATGCTATTTGAAAATTCTCTTTTGTTTTCTTTTTCTTTTTGTTCATAATTTTTTTGATTCTGTTTCCAGTAATGATGAATAACCTTGTTCATTTACTTGTTTATATTGATTTTGGATTAAATTTTATAATCCACAGACACAAAAAAACATACTTTTCCCTTATTTTTTTTCTTAAGAGCGGTAGCCTTAAATCTTTAGACAGACTCGTGCTTGTTATTTTTACTAGTGCTACAATTAACTCTTTGTTTAATGTTTAACACATTAACTATGCATATTTAGCTGGAGTTCTTCAGCCTTGGAAGTGCCAATCTCTACTGACTTTAAGGTAAAAGGAGGTGTTAACTTGAAAACTACAGCTTCATGACATCACAAGGTGGAACAGCGCAGAGCTTTGGAGATGAGATGTAGGCTAGATTTATATGATAACGGTCTGAACAGAAAACGCAAACGTGGCGTCGCGTTTTCACTTTTTATTCCACATTTAGACAAGTGTTTTCGGGAGGAAATCTGCATGCATACGGTGACGCAGAAGTGTGTGGAATTCGTTGTGTATGCATGCCAGGCGGCTCAGTGGTGACTCTAGGTGGTGATATGAGCAGATCTGACCAGAGTTTTGCGTCTTGGGCAGTGTAGAAAGAAACGCTACTGCAGAGTGTGTTCAACTTTTTCACTCTTTCTCTCTCCACTTCACATTTTTGCGTTTTTAAGCCCCAAAAACGCTCTCACCGTCTAAACGAAAGGCACTTCTGATAAAATATTTTGTCGTTTTCACCCACAATCGTTCTCGTGTAAACAGGCCCATAGACAGACTAATAATGTTAGATTATTCAAACATGTGTGAATGAAACAAAACACAACACAAGAGTAATTTTTGTGCAATATAGAACCTTTAAGCTTCATACTTTAATAAGCTCTTTAGTAGTAAGTAGCAGTTACATGAGGGTGGGGGTGGGAGGGGCTCGTGGTTGTTATAAATGAAATGAAATGTTATAATGTGAGAGTACGCTCAGAAGACAGTGCTGTGACGCGGTTCTGTTTGTCCCTGTTTCAATAGCTGCCTTCTGTGAGTGATCAGATGACAGGATGTGGGGTGTGGCGCCCACATCTGAGGTGGGTGGGTGGGTGTTACGGTGGGTGTTACTCCGAAGACACCCAGGGACAAATGGGTGAGATTTTAGTGTCTCTGTCTGAGGAGGTTGATGCAGAAGAGAATAGAGATCAGACACGGTTTAGCTTTACAATGTTTAGTCTATACAATATGCCTATTATAGTTACAAGACACACAATTGATCATATTTTTACTAACTGTATGTGGTCTACTTCCAGATGTTCTGTCATGAGTTTCACCTTCCTGTTATAGGCAACATTTAGGACTATTTCTAATTCAAAATATATAATAATTGGTTTTAAAGGGCCCATATTACGCTATTTTCTGATCTATGTTATAATGTTGTTTCCTCGTCCCAAACAGACCTGGAGTTGTGTTTTGTTTCATTCACACGTTTAACTCACAAACCCTGCATATTTAGTTACTACAGGTAAAAGGACTGGGTATCATTAAAAAGTTGCTGATATGATACATACCAAGATAGATAGCCCACGGTACGATACGTATCTCGATACAGTGCACTTTCGGTTCCGTACAATATATTTCAAGTCGATTCGATACAGTTCAATACAAAATAAAGGCTAAATCATGACTGTGATAGTAAAAGTCTTTGTTAAACCATTTCTTGCGCAAAGTGAATATGAAACACGCCCAATTTAATCCTCATAACAGTGAAAATGTCAAATGCGTCGCACACAAGAGTTTCCTTCCTCTGAACAAGTAACAAATCTGTAGCTCTTTAACAAAATAATTTAGTAAAATATACCAAAAAATACTCTTGCCAGTATATCAAAACTGTATTATCACATTAAACGATGCAATATTTTAATATTTTGATAATTACAAACACATCAGAAGTTGAAATAGAGCATTTTGAGCTTTGAAGATGTGGACAGATTAATAATGCAGGATAACTCAAATGTGTGAAAGAATCAAAACACACCTCTGGGTATGTTGGTGAGGAGGTAACAGCATTATAACATGGCTACAAACTTACAACAATCAATTTTGTGCAATATAGAACATTTAAATTGTAAATTGCAAATTTTTCATCATTCTGAAACCCATGGATAACTAGGCACTGACATAGCATATACACTACTGGTCAAAAAGTTTTAGAACACCACACTTTTTCCAGTTTTTTTTTTACTGTTTCATGTGTCCTTGCAATCTGAAATGAAAGCACAGAACAAATAAGCAATTTGAGTTGAAAAATAAATCATGAAATCAATTTATAGACCAAAACTTATTCAAAATTTTTGATTCATCACACTCGTGGCATTCTTTCTACAATAGAAATATTCTTCAGGAAGTTCTTCCCAAGTCTGTTGCAGAAGTTCCCATAAATGTGGGACACTTGTAGGTTGCTTGGCTTTCACTCTTCTGTCCAGTTCATCCCAAACCAGCTCGATGAGGTTTAAGTGTGGAGACTGCAATGGCCACTCCATGTTTTCAAGCTTACCATTTTTGTACCATTTCAAGCTCTTCATTGGATTTGCACAACTTGAACTGCAATAAATAATTGGAAAAATTAGGGTGTTCTAAAACTTTTGACTGGTAGTGTATATCCATGGGTTTCAGGGTGATAAAATCATTACCGTAACCATAGCAATTAACAATTCTAAATAGAATATTCTATGTTTGCAACTGTCAAAAGTCCTCAAGATGTCACCAATAGACAGGAATCTGAAACCCAGGAACTGTATTGGTGAAAATGTTAAATTCTTGTTTAATGCGTACGCCATGGAAAGATTTGTTTGTTTTAAATTCATTTTCAATCACTTAAATGCATAAAAAACAAGAATTTTCTTAACATTTTATAGCAACTTCAGAAGTGAATAAGGAGATGTTTATTTCCACTGTAAAGTACTATTGACTGGCAATTTGCACACATTAAAACTTGATTAGCTCAATAACATAAGTATCGCAAAGGCAGTATAGTTAACTGCGCGCTTTAATGAGATCTCTTTCTCATTCTGATAAGAACACAGAAAAAACCCGCTTCTTTCTTAAAATATACTTTCTTAGATTTTACTGTTTAGCTTTTGCCTATACTTTCTCAGTGACGCTATGCTAACGGCAAGCCCTAATACATCACTGGGTCGGGGGGTTTAAAAGATCTTGTTAAAAATGTCAAGCTTGATTAGGGTTACTGGCCTCATTCTTAAGCTGTGATCACGTGGGCCACTCTGCACTATAGGCTGAAGTGTAGTTAAACGGCGCAGTTAAGGGCCCGTCCTTTAGACTTTACACACAGATTACAGCGTTATTGTGGCAGGTTCACTCACGTCTTGGTCTCGCTGGCCTCCTTGTGCATGATCTCCAGGATCATCCGACAGGCGGCAGAGCAGCCCTCTGGAGTCGAGTGGATGGTGATGGGCTTTTCCGCTGCACCTGCGTTTTCCTTACGATGAACGTCCACTCTGCAAAACGTCAACAGTGAAATAGTTAAAGTATGAAAGGTTTTCATGTTTTTCTTATAATTACTGGGAGTAACTGGGGGATAGTACATAGACTCAGTGTTGCCTAATACATGTACTAGAGGTGGGACTTGCAAGCCGTGACTTGGACTCAAGTCAGACTTGAGTCACTATTTTTAGGACTTGAGATTTGACTTGATAAAATGGACTAAGATTTGGGACTCAACTTGGACTTGAAGATCAGTGACTTGGGACTTAACTTGGGACTTGAGGCCTGTGATTTGAGTTTTTTTTTTTTCTTTCCAGTTCATACACGCGTGATTCATTTTACAGGAGCAAACTGGAGAATGTCCCTCCCACTTGTCTGTTTGTTACTTGTTTTTAACTGAAGTACTGTGAGATGGTGTCCTTAAATGTACTACAGTAATATACAGTACAATACAGAGGGAACTACAGAAAATAAGATCCTTTATGACAAAATAACTGGTATTTAGCACTTACTCATATATAAATATACCATGATTTATTAAGTACAATTTAGTTTAAAATTCATATAAATTGCAAAAATCTAAGCTATATTTGGTATGTTGGTTTAAAGACTTGAAATGACTTGAAGCTCAAAGCAGACGACTTGGTACTTGACTTGGACTTATGGGCCGGTGACTCGAAACTCGACTTGGACTTGCCTGTATTTGACTTGGGACTTGACTTGGACTTGAGGTCAAAGACTTGAGACTTGCAAAACATCGACTTGGTTCCACCTCTGACATGTACTACTAGTATAAAAACAAACATGCCTGTCCCGTGCCTGCTGCTTGGGCGCTCGGATTTTGCTGCTAAAGCTGAAGGCGACTGAGAGGACGAACAGCCTATGATCGTTGTACTTAGAGTTATGTTTTCCTTCATTCATGCATATTTATCACATATTTTCACATCTGCAGCTGTTTCTCTGAGCTGAAAACACTTCTATTATTCAGCTATGCATAATTATTAATCATTTGGACATAAAAAAAAAAAAGAAAAATGAGAACTTTAATGGTTTTGTTTTCCAAATAAATAGAATTGTCTTGAGTCTTTTGTCACTGCTGTTACCTCATTTACTTTCAGTCAGAACACATTTATAACCTAAAATATAAGATTATTGTTTAAGATGCATTGTGTAACTTTTCTTGTGGAGGTTCCACCATTGAGATGTTATTTATTTTTCTGGAATGTTCCACAGTACGGCATTAAACTTATCTATCATTCATACCGAGCAAAGTACCAACATCTCTATGGAAAGCAAGAAGTCAATCAGAAATCCATGCACCTACCGGTAAACTCAAAAGGTGAATAGTGCACTTTTAAGGTAAAATAATTTAATAAATATGTGTATATAAAATGTGTATCCTTCGCCTAATTAATCCTGAGGTATAAGCAGTTTTATAAGACTTGAAAAAGCAAAAAACATATGTAACTTTAGAAGCATTTTGAAAATCTACACCAGCATTTCAGTTTCACATGTGAAGTTTTCGACAACACACTGAACCTGATCTGTTGTATTGTACTATTATACTACTCTATTTTGTCTTGTCTTAATATAAAACTGCAAAAGAGCTGGGACTGATACTATGTTAGCAAAGGAATTAGTTTATCTTTAATATAAAATAAACTTAAAGGTCCTATATTACGCAAAATTGACTCTTGTGAGCTTTTGTTTCATCCACACATGTTTGAGTAACTCTTTTTTATCATTATTACAAGTCTGTCTATCCACCCTTTATTATTAACCTGTCTACATCTCCAAAGCTCAAAATGCTCTGTTCCACCTTGTGATGTCATGAAAAAAAGGTTTTCAAGTCAACAGCTATTTTTACCTGGCCTGATTCATCAGCCGGTTTCACTTCGTGGAAACCGTCTGACCTCGCAGCGTTAGGATTCGTTTGCTTGAGGGTAGGTGGGTACTTTTTATTTAACGTATCGCTGCTGTTTGGTCGTGACGTATGTAATGCTCCAAATCCCGTAGGAAGAAGGGCAACAATGTCTTTCCCCTTGATAAAATTCACTAAACATTCTCTTTGTTCCGGCTTTAAATCCTCGAGCTAGGGAATTGTTGCCAACACAGAATGTATGGCTTCATCTACATCCATCTCGATCACTTTGTTTACTGTCATGGCTTCACAGATCTTCGCTGATTGGCCGGTGCGCAGTCTACAACTTTCGGGGTTCTTGCTCTAGTGTATTCTGATTCCTGACCTAGTCGCTGGAGAGAAATGAAAATGACCGGAAGCACTAGGTGGCACCAGCCTGGCTAACTTCTACCTTTTGCTTACTACTGGCAATTCCAATCCTAAAATTGTCCAAATGATCCTAGTGAAGGTGTATGGAGTTTAAAAACACAGTAGAGCACTTCCTTCACAATTATGCATTAAACACGTGAGAATGAAACAAAACACAACTCCAGGTCTGTTTGTGATAAGGAAACAACAACATAACATAGCTCAAAAAATAGTGTAACATGGGACCTTTAATAGAAAATAAACCTGAAAAGCGTACAGGCTGTGAAAACACTTGCAGATTTTATTTATTTTTTTATGTGTAAAAACTCCAGAACATCACAACATTTAGCTACTCCAGCAAGCCCATTAAACTCGTACTCAGGGCATTTTCACAATGTATGCAGTAAAATATATAATAAAGAAAAGTGCTGGCGGTGCAGTGCGGAGGCCTGGGAGCGTAAAACGTTGCACATGGACTACGTTTCCATGACAACATATCACCATAGTGGCTGCTGTCGCCCAGTGATTGATTAGCTTACAGCCCATGCAGAGTGATAAGGAAACGCACAGGGCTACATTCACTACTGGGCAGATAGGGCTTTCTCTGCTGTCATAATGTTTTTATGATAGGAACATGAACCAGCATTTGCACTAAACCTACTACAACAGAGACAGTGAAATCTGATTGGAAAATGCTGAAAAAATATTGTAGTTGAGATGTAGCGTATGCGGGCTGTGTGACAAAGATGAAACTGAAACTGGTTTCTTGGCAAGAGTTCCCTATTGTCAATCGTGAAAAAGCATTTATATCACTGTGTCTAACAACTAGTTTTGTACAAAGATTTAAATATACATTGTGTAACGTTTCTGGTGGAGAATCAGCCAGCTGTTTGTCTCCACAGAGATGTTATTGCTTTGTCTGCAATGTTTTGCAGAATGACATTAAAGGGCCAATATCATGCTATTTTTTGATCATCGCTATAATGTTGTTTCCTCTTCAAAAACATGTCTGGAGTTGTGTTTTGTTTCATTCACATATATTTAACAAAACCCTGCATATTTACGCTGGGCACTTCTCTCAAACAGAATACACTCTGTCCATACACTATCACAAGAATCATTTGGATGATTTCAACCCTGAAATTTTCAATCTCGCCTGAACTAAAATGTAAAACAATTCCAAGTTAAGAATGGCTTAAAGCTCACAGGAGTCTATTCTGTGTAATACACTGTAGGCAGAGGTGGGACTGAGCCGTTGTTTTGCAAGTCTCAAGTAAGTCACCTCAAGTTCGAGTCAAGTCCCAAGTCAAGAAGACAGGTCTCGAGTCACTGGCCCATAAATCCAAGTCAAGTCCAAGTCATCTGCTTTGAACTTCAAGTCATTTCAAGTCTTTAAACCGTAGTTTAGATTTTTCAGATTATATGAATTTTAAACTAAATTGTACTAAGTCATGGTATATTTAAACATGAGTATTTATATAAGAGTTGTAGAAATGCAATTTTTCACTTTCAAAACGTCTTGACAAGATCTTAGAATTAGAATTAATATTTAAATATGCTTTTAATAACAGTTATTTTGTCTGCACTGAAATGGAAGGATCATGTTCTTTGTAATTCTCTGTTTTACTGTATTGTACTTTATATTACTGTAGTACATTTGATGATATCATCTCACAGTACTTCAGTTACTGTGTTACCATAGTAACAAACAGAGAAGTGGGAGGTACATGTTCCAGTTTGTTCCTTTAAAATTTAGCACTGCATTTATCAACTGTAAAGAGAAAAGCATTTTCTAAAAACATATATATTTTTTTAGCAGAAGCATCAAGTCTCCTCAAGTCACTGACCTTCAAGTCCAATTCGAGTCCCAGGTCTTAGTCCTAAAAGTAGTGACTCAAGTCTGACTCGAGTCCAAGTCACAACTTCCAAGTCCCTACCTCTGGCTGTAGGACCTTTAATGCTATACTGTGGAACATTATAGGCAAAGCTATAGCATCTCCATACATGCAAGCTGCTTTTTTATTTTAAACAATTTCATATTGCGTGTGAATTTAAGTAAAATGCACAACAATAAATCAGAAAAAACCTTTCAAATATGTATACCTAATAGACCTGAATGCTCCATGTGATATACGACATAAAATGAATGAAACAGACTCAGCGTTTGAACTCACTTTGACTGCGTCTGTTTGGTGACATTCTTGATGGTGAGGCCCTCTTTGCCGATGATGGCCCCGACAAACTGAGTAGGCACTAGCATGCGCAGGGGGAAGTCCTGTGTTCTGGGGCGGGGGCCTCCATAGCACCCTGAGGGCCCAGGTTGGGGGGTGCCCTGGTCCCGGGACGGCCGCCCCCCCCCGCGCCGGGAGCGAGGGGTCTGCATGGCCTGAGCAGCATCCATGTCCATGATGTAGGAAACCTTGAAGCAGTAGTCCTCACACTGGTGCTCTGACAACTTCTCAATGGCTCTGAGGAGACAGACACCGGAGGGACAGACATGAGACGCTGAACAAATTAATATAGTTCATACAGAGGTATGAACTACATTAAGAGTAGTAAAGTACTTAAGTATAAATATTTGGTATCTGAACTTTACTTAAGCAGAATTTACAGTGGATATATTTGAGAACAGGTATATTTATTTTATTTTTAAACATAGAGATTGCAGAACAGTTGGATATATAGTTTATTTTGGATACATTTATGTTTTTCTATGCCTTATTTCATGTTGAAAGTATATTTTATTCTTGTTATGTTTTATACACCGTAAAACTGCTCTAAGGTACATATTTGTAGCATTTATTTATTTTAAATTTAAAGGTTTTGAGTAAATTACTATAATTGAGCAGCCCAACATTCTACTTCACTACATTTTTAAACTGGACTGAAAAGTAAAAGTATTATTTATTATAGTTTGAGACTTGCTGAAAAGACTCAGAAAAAACAATAGATTTTATTGTTTCTACAGCACAGATCCAAAAATAAAATACTCTTTAAGGACATTTTTAAAAGTGCACTTTAATACTTTTCCTTTTTAAAAAGTTGTAGATTTTTAGTAGATTTTTTCATGCGATACTTTTACTTGAGTATTATTTTGCTCCAGTATCTGTACTTTTACTTAAGTAACACAATTTAAGTGTGAGACATTTTTACGCACACAAATCATTTCGCCTGTTGTAATTCCAACCAAACCAGATGTTTCTGTTCACATTGTGTTAAAATAAAACTCTGATTAAGTTTAACTTGAGTAACAGAACTTCTAAAAGAGCAGTGCTTTCAGTTAGCGTCACTTCCCCAGAGATGTTGATGACATCAGCTATCAAAAGGTTCGTCACATTTTATTCTGTTTTTGTACTAGTATTTAGGCCTGTCACAATAATTATTGTGTGACTTTTTGTTTAATAAATTATAGATGGAACAATAGTTTTTTTGGGGGGTCAATATTTATCACATTAATTTGTTATTATTCTGCTCTACAATGAGATTTGAGCTGTAGAGGGTTGAATAAATAACATCTGTGACTCATTATTTATACAAACTCACTGCTAAAATGTTTCCTTCTTCTATTTTTTAACAAATTAGAGTCCTTTTTTAGGGAAAATCCTGTTGTTATTGTGTCAGTTGTATAATGTAGCTTCAGAGGATTGTGTTGATTCCCAAGGCAAGGCCCTTGGGCAAGACACTTCACATGCTTTGAATATATATCGCGCTTCAAAATGTGTTATGACAGGCCTAGAAGTGCTACAATAAGATTTGACAAGTAGAGGTTTGAATAAGTAACCTCTATGACTCAGCATAGATACTAACTACTTACTTAAATGTGCATTGTGTAACTTTTTTGGTTGGGAGTCGGTTACCTCCTTGTTTTCTATGGATTTGTCATTGCTCTGCCTGGAATGTTCCACAATGTGACATTAAACAGCTCTACCTTACATTTATTCAACTACAAGTGGTTTTAGTGCTCAACAATACCAAGAAAAACAGGCATTCTGACTGAGCGGGGTCGTCTCTCCACAGATCTGACCTGTAACTTGGTCTGGTTTGGTCTCCATGAAGATAGAAATGTTTAAAGCCATACTGTGAAACATTCCAGACAAAGCAATAACATCTCCGTGAAGAAAAGGATTTGACGGACCCTCCACCAGTAAAGTTACACAATGCACTTTTATGTGTTTTGTGTTCTGTTTTGTATTTCTTGCAGCTCATGTTTTTGTTAGAAATTTAGTACATATTGAAAATAGCTGACTGAGATGATCCTGCTTTAGGGTTATTGTGTCATTTACAATATATTATAGTTTTCTGAAATACTTTTGTAGCAATAAATCCCACTTCAAAATGTGTTACTGTGATAGGCTTAGAGGGCCCATATTAAACTATTTTCTAATTTCTATTTTCTAATTTGTTTTAACGTACACAAAGAGACCTGGAGTTGCGTTTCGTTTCATTCACACATGTTTAACACACAGGCCGAGTTCTTCTCTCAAACAGGAAACACTCTGTTCCACCTTGTGATTATGTAGAATCATCTGGATAATTTCAGCTGAACAAAAGGTACAAATGTATCTGTGAACTTGAAAACTGTAACTACAACATGACATCACAAAGTTGAACAGACAATTTTGATCTCTGGAGATATAGACAGACTCATAATGCGGGGTTACTCAAACATGTGTGAATGAAACAAAACACAACTCCAAAACTCCATAGCTTCCCCATTATAATTTCACATATATTGCTATATATGACATTAAACTCATATTTGGAAACTAGAAAATATAGTTTCACAAAAGATACTAGAGTTTATATTTAGCCAGTTTCACGTCTATTTCTTTACTTAATAAACTAGAGCTGTCACAAAGGGTCTGATTTTAGAATTATAGCTGATGTGAAGAGAGAGCACCAAGGAAGATGTATTTTAGATAACAGCCAATTTATTGTCTTATAATGAAACTATGTGTGTGGGAGGCAAGGTTTTCTGTATTTCTGTATTTATTTTGACCATCTAAAGGTGACACATTTGTTAAACGTAATGAATTTGTGTCATTTTAGAGATAAATTTAGCAAGTTCCTGGGCTGACTGGTGAGGCAGGACACTGGACACACCACATGTAAGCCTGCTCCTGCTTAAATATAAAGGATTTATATTACACAAAACTGACTCTTGTGAGCTTTAAGTCATGTTATAATGTTGTTATCTCATCAAAAACATACCTGGAGTTGTGTTTTGTTTCATTTACATGTGAATTATTAGTCTGTCTACACCTCCAAAGGTCAAAATTGTCTGTTCAACCTTGTGATGTCATGTTGTAGTTACAGTTTTCAAGTTCACAGCTACACTTTTGTTCAGCTGAAATTATCCAGATGATTTTACATGATCACAAGGTGGAACAGAGTGTTTCCTGTTTGAGAGAAAAACTCACGCCTGTGAGTTAAACATGTGTGAATGAAACAAAACACAACTCCAGGTCTGTTTGTGACGAGGAAACGACATTAAAACAGGTTAGAAAATAGAAATTAGGAAATAGTTTAATATGGGCCCTGAAATCATCTAAATTATTCTAGTGAAGGTGTGTGGAGTTGTTTAAAAACGCAGTGGAGCTCTTCCTGTATTACCACATGACATCACAAAGTGGAAGAGAGTGTTTTCTGTTTTCTGTTTGCAACGGGTCCAAAACTCAGCGGCTCGACTTTTAACTGGAACCGGGAAACACGAGAGGATCTCATCTATTTTAGCCTCTCTCCATCGGCTCCCAGTGTCTTTTAGAGTCAATTTTAAAAGTCTTTTATTCACTTTAAGTGTTTGCACGGCCTAGCACCTTCCTGCCTCGCTGACCTGATCCACCCTTACGCCCCCGTCTCGCACTTTTAGATCAGTACACCAGCTCCAGCCCGCCGTCCCAAAGACTAAACGCAAGCTTCGTGGGGACAGTGTGTTTTCTGTTGCTGTCCTTTGGCTGTGGAACCAGTCGCCATTAAAGATTAGACAGGCAAATTTTTTAATCACTCCTAAAAACGCACCTTTTTCACCGGCTTTTAACAAGTGAGATTTGCATTTCTTATTGTTGAGTATCTTATTGCTTTCTATGTTTTTTAGTACCGGTGTGAGATAGTATATTGATCCCGGGGTCAACATACCGCTATAGTAAAGTGACCCCCCATAGGATTTTAACTCCCTTTACTTTTTTCTTTAGTAGTTACTTATATGATCATTATTTCTCATGTAATTTACTTTTATGATATATTGCTACATATTCACTTTCCTTCAAGGTATTTTAAGAAATATTTTGATGGACAACGACTTGGTATTTTGTGTAAATGTAACGTATTGTTAAAATTGCATATACATAGCAATCTTGTTTTACATTGTTACGGATTTTAGTTTGCTATGTTCAGATAATCCTTAATCATAATGTCAATTTAGGCAAAGGTTTGTACGGATAATGACCTTGAATTTAGTAATGTTGTGTTATAATAAACATATTGGGGGGCCAGATTACTATAGTCATAGCTATCCCCTATTTAACTACTGAATTGATTATCCCTGTCTATTTTTTTTATCCCTGTCTAGATTCCAAACCATTAAACATCACTTTTATTACCTAACCAATTAATAACTACTCATCTCATTTTCAGTAAAATGTGTTTAAACAACTAAGGAATTTTTAACATTCAAAAATTATAATCGACATAAAAAATGCATCTGAGTTCTTCAAAAAGCACTTTTAAATATGTCAGTATGTTTTAATTTGCAGACATAGTATAAATATTCAAGGTTTTTTTCTATAGAATTCAAGTTATTTCTTAATAAAATATAGATTTTCATAGAGGGCTCGATATTCTATGGGGGGGTCAACATACCATACGACACCGGTAGTTATATTGTGTTTCTGTTGGGTATTGTGTTGTACTGCGATTGACCTTGTCTATTCTGCGTTGGTGTACAGCACTTTGGCCATCTGTAAAGTTTTTAAAGTGCTTCATAAATAAAGTTGGTATGGTTTGGGTTGAGAGAAGACCCCAGCTTGTGTGTGAATGAAACAAAACACAACTCCAGCTACGTTTGTGATGAGGAAACAACATTATAACACGAATCAGAGAACAGCGTAGCATGGGCCCTTTAAAGAAGCACCAAATTATCTGTATTTTTTTCGAGCGTATTTTTGGTAGTTAGCAGCAGAGACACAACTTCATTAAATTGAAATGATAAACATTGTGGGTGTTTTTATTGAGCTAAAATAAACATAAAACAGATAAACCACAAATAGAACATTTTGACAACAGCGTCAGTGACTAATCTGCACACATTGAATGTTTGAGCTGGGCTATTGAAAACGTCTATTTTGAGATGTAATTTGGGCAACAGAATCAAATAAAGACACGTTTTCCCTAATTTAAACCAAAAAAAAAAATTACAGATTCAGCTAAGAAAACTGAAACTGTGGACGGATGCTCAAAATATATCTGAGAAAGAACATTTTGGACACATTGAGAAGCTTTGAGGAAGAGAGCTGAAATCCGTAACATCTGAGTGAACTTGTATTGATCATTTTGAACTGAAATAGTTTGGTTTGATGAATCACAGCTCTCTTTCCACAGATCTGACGTAACCTTTAGTTCACTGTACATGTTGTATCCGTGACTCCACTTATGGCATTCACTCTCATTGTCTCACTGCCAATGGTGGAATATAATGAAGTAAAAGTAGTAAAGTACTGTACTCAAAGGTGCATTGTGTAACTTTTCTGGTGGAGGGTGTGTTAAATGTTTTTCTTCATGTCTTCATGGAGATGTTATTGCTTTTATCCTTTTTATTTTCATGGAAACCAAACCAGACCAAGTTACAGGTCAGATCTGTGGAGAGGTAGAATCCGTGTATCACTCGTTCATTTGTTTTTCAAAATAAAACCAAAAATAAGAAAACGAAAAAAACAAATGTTTTCTTCCTTATTTGTCTCCAAAACCAAAATGAAAAAACAGATAATGATTTGTTTTTTCAGTTTTTGATTTTGTGTTTAAATAAATAATGAAGAAAAAAAAAGTTATAACAGCTGTTTTCTGTTTCCGTGACTTAAACTGCGATGCCGGACTTTTGCGCCGCATACGGACTGAACCAGGACTGAACCAGGTCCGGGACCAGACCGGGACTGAGACCGGGACTGAGACCGGACTGAGACCGGGACTGATACCGGGACCAGACGGGGACAAGACCAGGACTGAGACTGGGACAAGACCGGGACTGAGACCGGGACTGAGACTGGGACCAGACAGGGACCAGACAGGAACTAGACAGGAACTCTAAACGAGGACTGATACCGGGACCAGACCGAGACCAGACCAGAACTGTGACCAGGACTGAGACTGGGACAAGACCGGGACTGAGACCGGGACTGAGACTGGGACCAGACAGGGCCCAGACAGGAACTAGACCAGAACTCTAGTCCAGGACTGAGACCGGGACCAGACCGAGACCAGACCAGAACTGAGACCAGGACTGAGACCGGGACTGAGACTGGGACCAGACCGGGACAAGACCGGGACTGAGACTGGAACCAGACCGAGACTGAGACAGGGACCAGACCAGAACTGAGACCGGGACTGAGACTGGGAACACTCTAGAACAGAAAACGGTTTAGTCCTGGTTCAGTCTTGTTTTTAGTCCTGGTTAAGTCCTGGCTCAGTCCGTATGAGGTACAAAAGTCTGGCATCGCAGTTTAAGTCGTGGCCGTTATCCGTTTCTTCCATTATTCAATTAAACCCAAAATCAAACACTGAAAAAACGAATCATTATCCATTTTTTCATTTTGGTTTTGGAGACAAATAATGAAGAATATAGTTGTTTTTTTATTTTTGGTTTTATATTGAAAAACGAATGAAACACGGATTAGGCAGCATCACTCACAGTCAGAACACAGGTTTTTCTAGGTATTTTTGAGCAATAAAACCACCTGTAATTGAATAAATATAAGGTAGAGCTGTTTAATCATTGTCATATTGCGGAACATTCCAGGCAAAGCAATGACATCTCCATAGAAACTAGTAGTGAACCTTTAAGTGGAGGCTTTTTACTTCTACATCACTACATCCAAGAGAAGGTATTTGTTCTTTTTACTTTTTTTGAAAAGTAAAAGTATTTTTATTATCATGTGAGACGTGCTGAAAAGCCTGCAGGGTTTTTTTTTTTATTTTTTTTTTTTATCAAGGTCATAGTTTGAGCAAAAAAATAAACAAGTAAGAAAATATTCAATTGTTTATTTTCAGCACAAATCTTTATCAAAGTCACGACATTTGAAGCTTTAACTCTGCACACAGCACTTTTACTTTTTACTCTTTAAGTACATTTTTAAACAGGTACATTAATACTTTGGTCAGTTTTTTCATCTGATACTTTTACTTAAGTATGAGCTGAGCTGAGCATTTATTTACTTCATCCATCACTGCCTCACTCTCACAGAAGGGGAAGGGTATACTCACTCTTTAGCTTCCTCCTTGGTAGCGTATGTAACATTCACGACTGCTGTTTCTGTGTCAGTGTTCACTGCAAAAACAGGAAATAATCACGTTACTTATACTTTCACATACATTATACATGGCATATAGGGTAAGTGCATAGGCCCTTATAGCAGAAAGTGTCTTTGTGTGCATCCATTAGAAACATCAGGGTCTGGCTCTGCTCCAGCCTCTAACACCACCTGCACACAACGGGGCTTAAACAGCTTATTAAGCTATTTTCTGATCTATGTTATAATGTTTGCTCATCACAAACATGCCTGGAGTTATGTTTTGTTTCAATCACGCATGTTTAACCATTAGAGATGTAACAATAACTGAAATATTGTGATATCGTATCGTCAAATTTCTCACAATAATATCGTGGACCATCACAATATATCGAATTACAAGTGTCTATGCTTACATTAAGAGTTATGGTGCAGAAATAGCTCAAAAAAGACAGAAGGAACGACATAGACCATGATCCTTTGCTCCATGTCAGTGTAGACTACAAGAAGAAATAACACTTGTCAAGGCATTTTAAAAGGAAAAGTAGCATATTCATAGTTTTGTTCGCCGATATCATATTGTGAGACTTGTTTATTGTTACACCCCTATTAACCATAGAAATATAACAAAATCTGGAAGATAAATCCAAAATAGCCATTACGAAATAGTGTTCTACATCTGTGTGTATGGCAGAATGTTTCCATGGTGACTCAATGCACACATTAGTAAAAACTGACAAAAAAGTTTCAAGATAGTCTGAAAACTCAATAAAAACCATGGATTTAGACAACAAATTTTGGTGTTTGAGTTTCAACAAAAAGGAGAACTGTGACACTGAAACAATACGGCGGTATTGTTTCAGTGGTCTGTGCTCATTGGCGTTTGGGTCCCCCAAAAAAGTTCACTTCCGTATTTACTTCCTCAGTACCGGTTAGCACCTCCCACCCCTGTGGCGTATCTAACGTGCACGACATGGAGCGTTTGAACCAATCAGAGCGAGAGCTGCTAGACTGGAGCTAGCGCGGGCTCAGAGCAGGCTGGGCTAACTCTTACAAAGTTAACTTTTAGGTGCTTTGAGGATTTTTAAAAATTTAAAAGTTTTGTTGTGAAAATAGAAAATAAACCCCTACAAAAACCAACCTTTGTGAAAGTTGTCAATGCCCTGTGAGCCAAACAGGGGCGGTTTGAATTCCCCAAATCCTACATATTTATGCTGACTTCTTCTCTTAAAATTGAAAACACTCCACCTGGTTCCACCTTGTGATGTCATGCGGTAATACAGGAAGTGCTCTACTCTATACACCTTCACTAGAATCATTTGGATGATTTCAAACCTGGAATTACCAATCTCATCTAAATTTAAGGTAAAAGTAGCTGTTTACTTGAAAACTACCGCTTCATAACATCACAAGGTGGAACCGAGCATTTGGAGCTTTGAAGATGTAAACAGACTAATAGGGATGTAACAATAACTGAAATAACGTGGTATTGTATCGTCAGAACTCTCAAAATAATGTCATGCTCCATTACAATATATCGAATTGCAAGGTTATTCACTTAAAAGTATTAAAAGAGGGAACTGCATAGGCCATGATCCGTTAATTACTTTACCACATAATAAAAATAACTGTTATTAAGCACTTTTTAATCTTATTTCTTTGGAATATGGCAGCAATGATTCACACTGAAGACTGGTCAAGGTAATTAAAAAGGAAATTTAAAAAAGAGTATGTACAGTTTTGTTAACCTCACCAAAATATATATAATAATTATCGCATCGTGAGATTTGGATATGGTTACGTCCCTGCAGATTAATAATAAAAGGTTAGTCAAACATGTGTGAATGAAATAAAACCCAACTCCAGGTATGTTTTTTGAGGAGGTAACAGCATTATAACATGGCTTAAATCTCACAAGACTCAATTTTGCGCAATATAGGACTTTTAAGTTACAGCCGCCATCACTTCTACTGAGTCTAATGTGCATGAGACACACCTCTGTGAGATCTGTGGCCCAGTCCTGCTCAGCATTAGGGCCTTGGACACTGCAATTAGCTGAATCTGAACAAAAGCATAAGGTAATAATGACACAAACAGGGAATATTAATTTCAGTAATTAGAGCTCCAAGGTAGTGTAAAGGTGTTAAGTGCCTTTGCCCCTCATTACAAAAATCACAAGCTAAAACGGCTGTAACTGTTATATTAAAGGGACAGTGCGGAATTTTGGACATAGGACCTCATTTCCTAGTGAGCCAGAGTGTTGGAGACGTTTGGAGACACTTTTTTAAATATTCCATCCAGTCCTTGTATTTGTAGAGGTCACTGGTGCTAGGCTAGTGCATGTCAATGGCCATAGTTACCCTGACACTAAAAACAGTCTTACCCACTCCACAAAACACCCGAAGCATCTATTATTACGCCAGACTGTCGATGTAAATGTCTGTGTTGATAGAATAATTTCAGAAGTAAAACCAACCTTGCATTTGAAGGATTTATGTCTGAGTAGCAGCAGCGAGAAAGTTTGGCAGCGGTGGACTGATATATGAGAAAATAGTCCCTCAACATGAGACAATTCATGCGATGCAAGGTTAGTTTTATTTCAAACATTATTCTGTCAACACAGACATTTACATCGACAGTCTGGCGTAATAATAGATTCTTCAGGTGCTTTGTGGAGTGGGTAAGACTGTTTTTAGTGGCAGGATAACTATGGCCACTGACATGCACTAGTCTAGCACCAGCGACCTCTGCAAATACAAGGACTGGATGGAATATTTAAGAAATTGTCTCCACATGTCTCCAACACTCTAGCTCACTAGGAAATGAGATCTGATGTCCAAAATTTCAGATTGTCCCTTTAAACCTAGTACTGAAAATTTGAGTTACAGTTACATGGCTAAACATACTCAGTTACAAGTACTGCCACCAAAATAGTACTTAAAGGCTCAATATTATATGACTTGCTTTTTCATAATTATAATATTGTTACCTCATCACAAACATACCTGGAGTTGTGTTTTGTTTTATTCACGTGTTTGACTCACAAATCCTGCCTATTTTGGTTCTTTGAGTTCTTCTCTCAAATGGAAAATGCTCTGTTCCACTTTATGATGTCATGTGGTAATACAGGATGTGCCCCATTGTGTTTTTAAAATCTATACACCTTCACTTGAATCATTTGGATAATTTCACCTCTGGAATTTCTCTACTGAACAAAAGTCAAAACAAAAGTCAGAAAGAAAAGTCAAAATGTAGCTGTTAACTGAAAACTACCACTTCATGACATCACAAGTTGGACCAGAGCATTTTGAGCTTTGGAGGTGAAGACAGATTGATAATAAAGGCTGCGAATAAAACAAAACACAACTCCAGGTATGTTTCTGATGAGGTAACAATATTCTAACATGGCTTAAAGCTCATAAGAGTAATTGTGTTTACTATACCTTTAAATGTAACTAAATACAATTACATGCAAAAATATACTCAATTACAGTACAGGAGTATTTGTAATTAATTACGTTCAAAAATCTATATTTTTGTAAGTTTCACAAAACATTCAGGGTCCGTGTACCAGTCGTTCTTTTGAATTCCAATTAAGTTTGTTATTTCATTATTACATTTTAATGTCAAACAAAAAACAGATTTTGACCTCTATTTCTAATATTTAATTTAAAGTTTATTTTGCCACCTGTCTCTTGCTATCTTTTTTACTACTTATTTAGAATGTATTATTATTGAGAATTTACTATTACCATTTATATTTTTTACTCTTTGTTATTATATTGTGATGTGTGAGCTCCTGTGTCCAAATAATTTCCATTGAGAATCAATCAAGTTTGTCTAAGTCTATGTCCAAAGTTTATTTCATCACGACTATTTCAAAATGTTTTCCATTTTAGTGTTTTTTTTATTGAATTTCATAAGAACAAATGGTACACGGACCCTTTGGCAGCATGATTTTGTTACATCAAATTGTGAGAAATCTTTAGTTTTCCAGGTCTAATAACAGTTAGAACAACACTTTGCAGTAGTGAACATATTAATTTATTGACTGATTGAACGTTAAAACTCCAAAATTGGTAAAATAAAGAATACAGAAAGTAGCATTCATCTTAGAGCATGATCTACTGTAGACAGATCCTGCCCACCTCCTCAACCTGTGTTGTATTTACCATCAGAGCAAAACAGACAACACAAACAACAATAGTCACATTTAGTTCTTGGAGCGCGCCCTGTCAGCAGTTTCACACAAGTGTCTTTCCACATTGGAGCCCTTTGGCGCAGTTATAATGGGTCCATGGGGTTTGACATGTGCTTCCTCCTCTAGTCATTATCACACTCGACTCTGCTCTACACTCTGCTCCTGCAGCTTCAACCTCCTCATGCTGTAACATGACAGGTGCTAAAGAAGAAGAAGAACTAACTTATGCTATACTTTTTGTACTAGAGATAGACCTACAGCTCCGGTACTATGCAGTATTGACTCCTGTGAGCGTAAAGTCATCTTATAATACTGTTACCTCCTCAAAAACATACCTGGAATTGTCTTTTGTTTCATGCACACATGTTTGAGCAACCCTTTATTATTAGTCTGTCTACATCTCAAAAGCTCAAAATGCTTTGCTTCACCTTTGGATGCCATGAATTTGTAGTTTTCAAGTTTAGTTTTTACCTTTTGTTTAGCAGAGATTGAAAATTTCAAGGCTAAAATTATTCAAATGATTCTAGTGAAGGTGTATAGAGTTTAAAAACATAATTTTCAACATATTTTCTTTGCAAATTGCTTTTTGATTGGTGTAAACCTATAATTTATATTTACAATAGTTAGAATTAAATAAATAAATTAGAGAATCATAAAAATCTGTCATATGCAATTTGTTTATAGTATATACTCCTGGGACTCGAAGAAAAAGTGTATTGCAATATATATATATTTTTTGTGATTTTCTATCTTCTGAAGGTAAATGAATAGCCAGGCTGGCGCCACCTAGTTTCTCCGCTCCATTTCATTTCTCTCCAGTGACTAAGTGAGGAATCGGAATACACTAGATAGTTTGCAAAAACCCCGGAAGTGCGAGTCTGGGCAAAATCGAATCAGCGAAGAGCCATACATTCTGTGTTGGCAACGCTTCTCGAGCTCGAGGATTTAAAGCAAACAAAGAGAATGTTCGGTGAATTTTATCAAGGGGAAAACATTATTGCCCTTCTTCCTACGGGATTTGGGAAAAGTTTAATATGCCAGTCCCGTTAGAGGCGCATTGCATACGTCACGACCAAATAGCAGCGATTGGTTAAACAAAAAAAGTACCAGCCTACTGTCGAGCGAACAAATCCTAATGCTGCGAGGTCAGACGGTTTCTATGAAATGAAACCGGCTGATGAATCAGGCTAATAAATGAACACCTTAGCTTTTAGATTTTGTTCATTTTATTTTTATTTATAATTTTGTAACATGTCCTGTTAAATGGACGCCGGGGACATTTTGGTGTTAAATCCATGTGAAGTTGACAACCAACAAAAACAACTTTTATGATGACCAACATCTCTGACAAGCTTCTACAGCTGCATCAAAAAGTTTTTAGACTCTCTTTTAATTTCTTCTTCTTTTTTTTTTTCTTATCATAGTGCAGCCACAAACTAACTCCGTCTATCTCAAAACATAAAATAGATTGGTTAACTCCGCAAAAAAAGGTCGAGTCTCAGGAGGATATTTGAATGACATAATTTGGGGAAAATAAATAACAAAATAATCAAAAACTGCTACATATTGGCCAAAAAATACCGCTCATCGGTTTCACAGGATTCAACCCATATCAGTGGATCTTTATTTGGTACAATGGAGAGGGTGTTTGTAGAGGGGTGTTCTTGGGTGGTACGGGGGAAGCCAGTCTTTGGTTGGGGTAATTGCGTTACTGCTCAGACAAGGCACAGTGCCAGGCTCTGCCCCCTCACCCTCTCCACACCAGCTGGGAACGCTCAGAAGTTTGAACCTCTCCAAAACAGCTGTCCGAGCTTAACCACTGTATCAAGAATGTGGGCAGAGTAATGAGATTGATGATTTTGTTAAGTGAAAATAAAATGTCGACTTTGAACCGAATGCTATTATTGAAACAGAAATCACACTTAAATCCAACTCAGTTCTAAATTTTTCCCCAAATCTTTTAGCACTATCCAAAAATGCCAAAGATAATCCTCATTATTCATGTATTTGCACAGTACTTAAAGGAATTATATTATATAAAAAGGATTCATTGAGCTTTTAGTCATGTTATAATGTGGTTACCGCCTCAAAAACAGACCTGGAGTTATATATATATATATTTTGTTTCATTTACACTATGCGATGTAACAGTAACTGAAATGTTGTGATATCGTATCGCCAAAAGTCTCTCAATAATATCGAGGACCATCACAATATATTCGAATTACAAATCTCTTTGCTTAAATTAAGAGTTATGGTGCAGCAAAAGCTAAAAAAAAAGACAGAGGGAACTACATAGACCATGATTCTTTGCTCCATTTCAGTGTAGACTACAAGAAGAAATAACAGTTCTAAGCACTTTTAAGTCTTAGTTATTTGGATTAAGTCTTGTCAAGGCATTTTAAGAGGAAAAAGTAGCATATTCACAGTTTTGTTAGCCTCCACAAAATATTGCAATAAATATCGTACCGTGAGATTTGGATATTGTTACATCCCTAATCGTGAGCCTCCCCAACATATCGTGAGCTTTCCCACGATATCGCAATAAATATGGATATCGTTACACCCCTAGGAACTACATATCCCATGATTCATTTCAGTGCAGACAACATGAAGAGATAGCTACATCTCCAAAGCTCGAAATGCTGTTTTACCTTGTGATGTCATGAAGTGGTGGTTTTCATGTTAGCAGCTCTTTTTACCTTTAGTTCAGTAGAGGTGGGCAATTCCAGTAGCCTGATTCATCAGATGGTTTCACTTTGTGGAAACCGTCTGACATCACAGTATTAGAATTTGTTCACTCGACAGTAGGCAGGTACTTTTTTTTATTTAACCAATCGCTGCTATTTGGTCGTGACGTATGTAATGCTCCGCTAATGAGACTAACTGGTATATTAAGCTTTTCCCAAATCCCGTAGGAAGAAGGGCAATAACGTTTTCCCCTTGATAAAATTCACCAAACATTCTCTTTGTTCCGGCTTTAAATCCTCGATCTCGGGAATCGTTGCCAACACAGAATGTATGTTTCTTTGTTGATTGGCTAGTGCCCGGAATCACACTTCCGGTGTTCTATCAAACCCTCTAGTGTATTTTGATTCCTGACATAGTCGCTGGAGAGGAACGAAACTGAGCGGAGGCACTAGGTGGCGCCAGCCTGGCTACAATTCCAGAGTAGAAATCATCCAAATAATTCTAATGAATGTGTGTGGAGTTTAAAAACACAGTGAAGTGCTTCTTGTGTTCCCACATGACATGACAAAGTGGAGTGTTTTCAGTCTGAGAGAAGAACTAGACAGACTGAGCAAAGTATTGAAGGAGAATACATGCTGAGCCACTACCACTGGATCTGTGCCCTGTCTGCCCACTTCAATTCATAATCCAAAACCAACGCTATTACTCAGACCTTATTATAGACAGGAATCCAGTGGCTGCTGTCCCCGATTCAACTTATAGCACACACGTGATGTTAATGACGTTTATATGCGGAGATGAGTTATGTTTAGGTAATGGTGGTGGGGAGATTAATGAATGAATGAGTGGGTGGGGGTGGCGTGGCGGGGCGTGGCTTGCCTGGGCTCAAAGGGGGATGGGGGGTTCAGTCAGAGAGAGGAGAGACTTACCTTGTTCCACATTTTCGACAGTACCATACTGAGCTAGAAGGCCGTCCAAAACCTGAAAAAAACAAAGGAGAGAGTTGGTAGTAAAATTGCAAATGGAAGTTTAATTTGACTTTCAATTTATGTCCATTCAGGAAAAAAAAAAAAATTGTACAGTTGCCATAGCGATTGCCATTTTAATAGGGATGGCACTGGATATAAATGGTGATATTGAAAATTATGATGGATTGGATATCGGTTCCAAGATATCAGTATTTTGGTCTATAAACTGACATTATAAGACGATTTTCTGGGCAATGTTGGTCCAAAACATATGGTAATATTTTTTTAAAGATGGTTTGTACTTATTTTAAACAATAAACAATCATTTTTATCAGTTTTAAGGAAATAAAGTATATGTTAAGTCTCTGTCCTACAATTTAAAACTAAATATTATATCTTTTGAATAGGAAAAAGTTCCAAAAATGTCACTTATAACGAGAAGCTGGAATCCATTTGTTTTATTAGATAGAATCAAGAACAATTATTCGCATTTTTGAAGTAACACTGAACCATTTTCAGACTTTGCTGATTAATTTAGATTTCCAATTAATTATTCGGAGACGTCACGCTGGGGGTGTTCTACATCTGTGTGTATTGCAGAATGTTTCCATGGTGACGCAATGCACGCATCAACAAAGACTGACAAAAACGTTTCGAGATAGTCTGAAAACTCAATAAAAAACATGGGTTTAGACAACACATTTTCAGGACGTGCTTGAGTGTCAACAAAAAGGTGAGTTGTGACTTTATGTAGAGACAGACTGTGTTAAAATAAAGCTCAGATTAAAGTCTAAAGTCTAAGTCTATGTGCTGTTCATTGCTGGGTATGTTAAGATGTAACTCTTTAGACTCGGACTCAAGTCTCCAGGCCCAGAGCATTCATGAGGTTGAGCAGTAGAGGATGGAAGGGAGACAGTCGCATATTGTGAAGGTATTCTGTCTCTTTTGTGAGTTTGAGACTGTATTGAAAATGGTTGGATAATGTGGCGTGTCGTTTTTAAAATAAACACAAGCATTTTATGCAATTAAAAAGATGTCACGCTGTACTTGTACTTTCAATTGATATGGCCTTATGTCTAGTAATTCTTCCTCACAGCCTACACAGAAATTCAAAAATGTATTATTCGCTTAATTAGAGTTATATTTCAGTTGTTTTGGTCCAGCTTTGATAACTTCTTTTTTTATATATATATCTTGACCCATTTTGACAAAAACATAAACAAAAACAAAAAAGCGCATATAGTGTGTTTTCACTTTCTAATTTATGTTATAATGCTGTTTCCTCATCAAAAACATACCTGGAGTTGTGTTTATTTCATTCACACATGTTTGACGGCCTGTTTAGACGAGTACGCTTGCAGGTAAAAATGACAAAATATTTTATCGGAAGTGCCTTTCGTTTAGACGGTGATGCCGTTTTTGGGGATTAAAAACACAAAAATCTGAAACAACCCTCCAGAGTGGTAGAGTAGCGTTTCCATCTACACTGCCCAAGACGCAAAACTCTGGTCAGATCTCACGTCGCGTACGAATTTACATCACATACTTCACCACCAAGCCGCCTGGCGTGCATACCCAATCGAATTCCACACACTTTTTGTCACCGTATGCACGCAGATTTCCTCCCAAAAATGCTCGTCTAAACGTGGAATAAAAAATGAAGACGCAACGCCACTTTTGCGTCTTCTGTTCAGACCGTCATCATATAAACGTAGCCTTACACACAAATCCTGCATATTTAGGCTTAGTTCTTCTCTCAAACAGAAAACACTCTGTTCCACCTTGTGATTTCACGTGGTTAATACAGGAAGTGCTCCACTGTGTTTTTAAACTCCATACACCTTCTCTAGAATCATTTGGATCATTTCAGCCCTGGAATTTCTGATCTCTACTGAACTGAGGGTAAAACATCGCTGTTAACTTGAAAACTCGCGCTTCATGACATCAGAAGGTGGAACAGGGCATTTTGAGCTTTGGAGATGTAGACAGACTAATAACAAAGCATTACTCAAACATGAGGAGCCACCGGAGGAGCTAGAGGACGTGTCTGGGGTGAAGGAAGTCTGGGAGTCCCTGCTTAGACTGCTGCCCCCGCGACCCGGCCCCGGATGAGCGGAAGAAAATGGATGGATGGATACTCAAACGTGTGAATGAGTCAAAACACAACTCAAGGTCTGTTTTTGATGAGGTAACAGCATTACAACATGACTTAAACATCACAAGAGTCAGTTTTTGCCTAATATACGTTTACTGACATGACGCGTTTTACCTTGTGACATGCAGAAATAACAATGCCACTTTAACCTCTATATAACCTTATAATCTTTTATCTCTAAATATTTGATCTGTGCACACACCAGGTCCAGATGAACAAAGAGTCCACAGTAAAAGGCCAGTGAGTCAGGGGCCGGATGCTGCTTTATGTGCCCAGCCCCCCCAGATCAGACCCCCCCCACTGCCTCATACACAGGCCCAGTGCTGGAAGAAGTGCTCAGTTTTGTTACTTAAAGTGACTGTGACAGGTTAGACTACTCATTTTACTAAAACACAGTTAAGATAATTATATTTAAGATTTTGGCAAAAACATTTGCACTCGTTTTCCCAGTTTGGACATTTTTTTAGGTTTAAAATGCTGGATATCACACTAGGAAATTCAATGTACACAGAAATTATTATTTGACAAATCCATATATAAGAAAACAACGTAGAAATAATGTTTTAAGTATCAGAGAAAAAGTGTTTTTTTGTGTGTAAATTGGGCAGAACGTTTGGACAGAATTCTCCCAGTGTGATGTCATTAATATGTTCAGAACTCTCCACTTCTGGAGACTTTTCAACACATTTTTCATCTTTTCTTCACAGATTTCTTCTTGATCGGTGTAAAAGTAATTTCTATTTACAGCAGGTATTATTCCACAAAATTAAGTCAAAATTAAAGAATCATGAAAATCATACGAACTGAAAGTAAAAGTGAAGTAAAGGAAAGGAAAAAGGAGGAGAAGAAAAGGAGGAATGAAGGAGGACTACAGGAGGACTAAAGGAGGACTAAATGAGGTCTGAAAAAAGAGTGAAGGAGGACTAAAGGAGAACTCAAACAGGACTAAAGGAGGACTAAAGGAGAACTGAAGGAGGACTGAAGGTGGACTGAAGGTGGACTGAAGGAGGACTAAAGGGGGACTAAAAGAGGACTAAAGGAGGACTGAAGGAAGACTAAAGGAGGACTAAATGAGGTCTGAAAAAGGAGTGAAGGAGGACTAAAGGAGGACTAAAAGATGTCCGAAAAAGGACTAAAGGAGGTCTAAAAGAGGACTTAAGGAGGGCAGAAGGAAATCTAAAGGATTGAAGGAGGACTAAAGGAGGACTAACAGAGGACTAAAGAAGGACTGAAGGAAGACTGAATGAGGACTAAAAGAGGACTAAAGGACTAAAGAGGACTAAAAGAGGACTAAAGGAGGACTAAAGGAGGACTGAAAGAGGACTAAATGAGGACTGAAGGAGGACTAAAGGAGGACTGAAGGAGGACTGAATGAGGACTAAAAGAGGACTAAAGAAGGAGAAAAAGAGGACTCAGAAAAGGACTGAAGGAGGACTAAAGGAGGACTGAAAGAGGACTAAAGGAACACTCACTTCCCACTGTAGATGTGGCGGGATGTTTCGGATCTGGATCTTCCGACTCCTGCAGAGACACAGACAGCGGCAGGTTAAGAGCGGAACCACAACAAACTGAAACAATGGATCACAGGTGCACGGTGTAACTTTTGTGGTGGAGGGTCTGCCACCAGTTTGGAGAGGTTTATGCTTTGTCAAGAAAGTCCCACAATAAGGCATTAAACATTAACAGGTCAGATCTGTGTCATATTTGCTGTAGTCATGTTAAAATGTCTGGAAAAGCTGTGTTTTTAATTGGGTATAAAAAAAATAAATTTTCTTAGTTGTGAACTCATAACTTAATTCTAAAGAAAATAAAAACTAGTCAATTTAATCCAAGGAAACCATTATATACATTTTCTGACACTACCTACTAAAAAAAAAATCCTCAAGTGCAGCTACATTTGTTATTAAAGCTCTTGTTCTAAAATTTTGAATACCACAGGCCAAAAACACAGTGGTGCAACAGTAAATATTTAAAATTGTATATATGACTTTAAAAATACCCAGAGGCAAGTAGAACATAAACAAAAGTCTATATTTCTATAAAATAATACAATGTGAGGATCTACCAAAACAGGTGCTGTGGTGCCTTGTAGGGATGAAATATCGTGATATAATATCGTCAAAGTTCTCAAAATAATATTGTGGACCATCCCAATATATCGAATTACAAGTCTCTTTGCTTAAATTAAGAGTTATGGTGCAGCAATAGCTAAAAAAAAAGACAGAGGGAATTACATAGACCATGATCCTTTGCTCCATTTCACTGTAGTGTAGTGTAATAGAAATACGCAGGTTTGATAGTTAGTTTAGGGAAATAAAAACCTTTTATTTTCTAGACTTTGTAGCCCAAAAATAGTTCACAAAAACATCCCACAAAATGAATTCTCTGAGTGCTTGTTGGTGAAGTTGTACATTTTGTGCTACACGAGGTCTGATGACACAAACCTGCACCGCTCACCTGCAGATGTCTCTTTATAGAGTTCCTTTAGAATTTCCCAAAGCTTTGAGCTGTGATAAAAATAACCTTTAAACTGAAAAATCTATAATCTATGAACAAATTAGACTTTTGCGGTTGGCATTTAGCAGCTTAAAGGTGCAGTGTGTAACTTTTCTGGTGGAGGGTCTGCCACCTGCTTAGCTCCATGGAAATTATATTGGTTTGTCCAGAAAGATGCACAGTCAGAGGCTTTTAGTCCCAAGATCTAGAAAGAACCATCTTAAAAGGGACTTCGTTCCAGCTGCTGTCAAACTTATGAATCAGTTGTAGGGATGTAACAATAACCAAAATATCGTGATATCATATCGTCAAAGTTCTCACAATAATATTGTGGAACATGTTAGCCTCCACAAAATATCACAATAAATATCATACCGTGAGATGTATATCGTGAAAATATCGCACCAAGAGATTTGGATATTGTTACATCCCTAATCGTGAGCCTCTCCACCATATCGTGAGCTTCCCCATGATATGATACAATAAATATCGTAACGTGAGGTTCATAACGTGACGATACCGTATCGTAAGACTTGAATATCGTTACAGCTGTAATAAATTGTAATCTATTTATCTATCAATTTGAGTAAGTTTGTCTTGGAAAAATCATGTGTTTTTATATATTTGATATCTATTGTGATTTTAGCCAAGCGTGATGGATGAATTTAACTAATCGTTTATGGCTCAAACCATTCTGCACTGCAGCACTGTAACACTTTATTTTGTAAGTTTATTATACATAATGTGACATGTGGGACCTGCCTCTCAAATCTGCAAAACAAATTTACCTAACCTAACCCAAACCTAACCTAACAGTATATATTAAACCTGTCTATCACGAGGCAGACAAACAGGCAGCAGCACTATACTACATTATAATTCAGATCTGTGGAGAGGTGCGCCTATTCGCACAAGGAATTGTTGTATTTTTGAGCAATAGAAACACGTGTAATAAATAAATGCCAGATGGATATGTTTAAAGTAGCAGGTGAAAGATCCTCCACCACAAAAGTTACAAAGCTACAAAGCACCTTTAAAAAAAAACGTTTAAAAACTCCAACATTTTAAAATAATTTCTTCCAGTATGGTAACAGTTTGGTTTTGTAATGCAGGACAGCCCGACTCTCCTCTCTGTGTTTTTATTGAGTATGTCAGTGCAAATACTAAAGCCACACAGACCACAAGCTGTTAACAACTGCATTAATGTGAGAGAGTCTGCTCTGACCAACACAACCGCTGAGTGAAGCAGCAGAGGAGAGCGCCTCACCACACACTCCAAAAAACCTTAAAGGAGGGAGATCATACGCAGGTGGGCTCAGAAGGGGAGGAAGGGCAGGAGAGAGAGAGAGACCTACTTTAAAACGTTTGTAGAATTAGACCTGTCATAATAACAAATTTTGAAGTGTGATATAGTGCTGAAGTAAATATATACAATACATCATAATACTCAAATCAAACCATAAAGCAGAACTGTCTTCAAAAATGTATTCTAATTATAATCAAATATGAATAAATAAACAGAACGCAACACTTTAACAGTCTGTGTGTATCTATAATGAGTCATAGAAACTCATAATTAAACACACTACAGCTCAAATCTCATTGTAGTACAGAAAACTAACAACATTTTCCCCCCAAGTTGAAGGAAAAGGCACTACGATAACTACTGACCCCCAAAAATGATCATGTATTGAACGATAAGTCACTATAGTAATAATCGTGACAGACAGCATAGGCCTTTGTTGTATTTTAATAAACAATTACATGTTTAGAATTACACTGTTTAGAGTCTCCACATCATTGACAAAAGCGTGTGCTGTTACTCAAAAACAGGAAGACTAGCCCTCGGTTACAGCGAACAGAGATCCTAATAAATAAACAAATAAACAAATATTACTGAGGTGAAAATTAGCGACAAGAATGCTGACCTTTGTTGTTTATTAGCACTAAGCTATTAGAGGATACCAAACTAAATGTTGCAATAGGAGACATTATACAGGGAATCTACTCACGAGGAAACTCAAGAAAATGTTAAATCACCTAAAATGGTCTTTTCAACGAGTCAAACATCAAAGTCAATCAGAGGTTGCTATGACGACTGCATGAAAACTGTAACTTAGGCCACAATTAGGTCACGATAATTACTAATCAACTTATGGTTCAGTATATGAAAGCCGGAACAATATATTTTGGGGTCAGTATTTATTATCTGTACAGTTTGTTTGCTCTTCTGGGAAATTTGTAGTTATTTTATTGGCTGTATAATCAGATTTGAGTCGGGATGTAACCAAAATATCATGATATTGTATCATTAAAAGTCTCACAATATTACCGTGGGCCATTACAGTATACTGAGTTACAAGTTTATTTACTTAAATTGATTGTTATGGTGTATCAACAGCTAAAACACAGAGAACCACATAGACCATGATCCTTTGCTCCAATCTACATGAAGAAGTAACCATTATCAAGCACTTTAAAATCTTAATTATTTGGATTATGACAGAAAGATTGTATATTCACAATTTGATAAGCCACCACAAAATACTGCCATAGAGCCATAGAAAGTTTAATTAATAACTTCTGTGACTCAGTATAGATTAGGGGTGTGCAAAAATAATGAAATATCAATATATCGTATTGTTTAATGTGATGATACAGTATCGATATCCTGGGCTGCTGTATCGATATATTGCCAAGAGTATTTTTTGGTATATTTTATGAAATTATTTTCTTACAGCTCTACTGTTTTGTTGTTTGTTTAGAGGAAGGAAACTCATTTATGTGACACATTTAACATTTTCACAGTTCTGATGATTAAAATGGGCTTGTTTCATACTAACTTTGCACAAGAAGTGGTTTAACAAAGACTTTTAGTGTCACAGCCATGATTTAGCCTTTAGTTTTTATTGAACCATATTGAATTGATTTGAAATATATCATATCAAATTGTAAGCTCACCGTACCGAGGTATGTATCATATCGGCAACTTCTGAATGATACCCAGCCTTAGTATAGATGCAAACTAGGTACTAAATCTGTTCAAAATGTGTTCAATCTTTATTCACTTCAATCTTTATTAAGAGCACATAATATCTGGTTCAGTGTGAGCAAGTATAAGTCCACTGTCCTGTATCATGACAGGTCTACTGTAACTTTTTTATATCTATATTTGAAATTAAATAAATTACTGTTATGGCCATTATAAAAGTATTTTTTCTAGCATTAATGACAAACGAATATTGTGTATAGTAATTTTAACCAAAAACATATATATTCCAAAACATATATACAGTAAAGACAATGTGGCAACAGGCACAATACACAAACCAACTTGTCAAAAGAATATTTTAAAGGTGAATTGTGTAACTTTTCCGGTGGAGAGCCCGTCAAATACTTTTCTCCATATCAGCAACTACAAAGCTGAGCATAAATCAAAAATATAATTCAAGATCTGACATGGAAAAGAAACTACAAAAACTACAATATAGAAAAACAGCTTTGTGAGTGACGGCTCTGAGTGTGGCCTAGAGCCCTCCTGATGTAAGTGTCTCTCTGAAAGACCTCTCCTGGCAACAGCTGTCCAAACATGGGCTAGGTCGATAAAAATCTGTGCTCCTTGTTAAAACATATCACCCCAACATAGTAAACAAGCTTCACCATTTCTACAGTCACTAATATCTGAAAAATAAGCAAAGGGAACTCCCAAAATCTCCAAAAATACCGGAGCGCAAGATCACATTTAAAGGGCTCATATTACGCTATTTTCTGATCTATGTCATAATGTTGTTTCCTCATCACAAACGAATGCCGGCTCGAGCGTTCCCCTGGCTTGAAAGTCCCAACTCCAGCGTCCCATTCTCGCCATGCCACGCGCTGTGATGTATTGAGTTAGAAAATCAGCATTCTATAATCATAATAAAATGAAATGTGAATGTAACGAGACCAAATGTCGGGCCTTGTTTATGTCATTTTACCGATCTTCCCCAAGTGGCACACATTTTCTTCAGTATGTAATATCAATA